GCGGAAGGTATTTAACCGAGCAGCGGAGATGAGAGATCAGGAGGAGAAGACGGAAGTTAGCGCCAGAGCGCGTAGGGGTTCCGCCGTGTAGTCGGCGAAGGTTTTGTCCGTGGAGACAAAGCAGTAGAAGAAGATGATTTCCACCTGAGGGGTGACGACTCGAGCTACAGGCAAGAGTGTGTGTTTACCGCTATCGAGCAAAGACGCGTGACAACAGCTGCGTGTGTGAAGCCGACGTGTTTCCGGCGAAGAAGTTTGAAGCTTGGAGAGTGGCCAATTGAAGACGCGAGGTTTCCTGGAAGAGAAACTTCGGCGAGGTTTCCTGGAAAAGAAACTTCAGGGGCAGCCGAACGACAACGCTGGACTTTGAGTGAGTGATTCTCGGAAGAGTATCATCTCGGCTTTTGTTCCAAGAACTTTGGACTGAATAGGTTTTCTATCTCTTTAGTCTTTAAGTGTCTTGGTTGTTCAATGCATGCGACTGCATTGTAGTGCGTATTGTTGTCTGTGTCGGTTGTTTCGAGTGTGGCTGTTTTTACTGTGTAGCACGTTGTTTGATTGGTGACATATTGTATGCAACTATTGTGGAGTGTGCATTCTTGTGTATTGTTTTCGATCTGCCATTATTGAGAATATAGTTTTGTTTTGTTTATCAACTCTCGGCTCTGACTTGTTCTTTGGGCCATAGCCGGCGTCCGCTTGCGCGCCAAAAAGGACCACTTCTAAATTGTCCACGCTTTCGTGGTGCGGTTCGGGGAGCCGATACTTCGGCCCTTGGAATTAGCCCGGCGATCGCCTCCCTAATTAACGGGACCCGTGACAGCCAGCAATTAAAAAAATGTTTTTGTTTTGCGCCATGTAGGGCAAATGCGCGACATCGCTAGCGCCTCTCGTTCTGGCGTATTTTATTTTTTGTTCTGTTGACCTCTCCTCACGTAGATGGCGACGGTGACAATGAGCCGCCGACTACTGGATCGATGGGCTTCTATGGAAGTTACGCTACCAGTAAGCTGTTGTGGTGGCTCAGTGGGCTGACGCGCAGTTAATGATGCGATCGTGGCGAAGGTAGGCACTTCGAATCCCGTTTTTTTTCATAGGAAGGCGTCGATATTGACGCTACTGCTTTCAAGGAGTCGTAAATTAGCTTTTTTTTTAGAAAGTCACGTCGCTGTTTCTGCCGGTTGTTAGCCCTACCACGTTGATTTTTCTAGGCGCAGTGGGTAAGTTGTTGGTGTGCAACTTGATGCGTTGTTGGTGTATATTATACGACATCAGTTCGAGTCGCGCTCCCCAACTGAACTTTTCTATTTCCTTTCTGCTTTCAAGACTGTTTCGAGTAATGTTGCCTATTTTAAAGGCAGCATCCTACAGTGGGAGGAGCCGCGCTGGGAGGAGGCGCTGGCCAGTGAGAGTCTGTACGATCAGCTGAGTCGAGGTTCTCGCTGAGGGATCCAGCTCGCTGAGTGGCAGCTGCCGCAGAGCCCTGGTCTGAGCCTCCCCCCCCCCCCCCCCCGCAATAAATTGATTGCAGTATTGCAAGTGCAGCGAGTATTCACCGCCACCAGTATAATCGCGCACTTGCACAGACACTAACGCATCGAGGCAATTGATACAGCACGCCGTAATAATGCAATTATGAGGTGGCCTGTTTTAAGAACGCTGCCTATAGTACCGGGCCTTGACATGGTGATGCTGTTTGTGCACTTACTGACGGGATTGGACAAGTTTTTATTTGTTTTTTTTTTGCTTTACTGCTGCGTGAGGTGACTGCGTTTAAGCTCCCTTCGGCTACATACCCTCATCGTAGGATACATGGATGCTGCTAGATGCACGTCTATTCTTGTGTATTCGTTTCATCGACTCGGTCACACCTTCTGGTTTACCCATGCACGTGGCCGCTCCAGCCCGCACTTGCGAATTCAAGCATCCAGACGACTGGTCACGCCCATGAGTTTGGCGCGCTCGCATTTTAATCGCAGAGAACGATACCGAACGCATTTCGCTCCCGCAGGACAAGCGTCGTCTCGGAACGGGAGTATAGCTACAGAGAGTACACCACCGTGCGAGTATCTACAGCCCCGTAGAAATCTCGAATGTCTATCTATGGTTGCATATAGCGATAGCACACACTCATGGGACGAAAGCGATGTGCATATCCCCTTTTTTTGAAGTGCAGCCGATTTGCTCACATGAATGAGTCTGTGTGTGCCATTTCAAGCGAAGTAGGCCCTATGTTGGAGCTGCGTGTATTGTAGTCATATGTATTGTGGTTTTGAGACTTACTGAAACATACTGTCCAACTACACAGCTCCCAGGGTTAGAACACATTCTATGTTGACCTGCACAACGTTTGGCATCAGCCCATATGTCACCTCTACACAACGACACGAAATATACGCGGAAAAAACTGATTTGAGAACATCACACTATGTGCAGCAAATTATTAGATGGAGTTCGGTATCGATGCAAAGGAACAGGAACCCCGCCGAGGGTTGTTGTTCAACGTGATAATGAAGTTCATTCGCACGCATACAACGGAATTTGTTCGCCCAGCACAGTATCGATCGATAATCATCGAGAAAAGTCTTCATTCTACGGTAGACGTAAAAGAAGTTGATAGTTATATCCCCAATGAATGACCCCGATTACCATTGAAAAATGATAGTCACAGCTTTGCCGCAAAGGCGAAGCAATGAACGCGATAGCAACAAATTGGAAGGTCACTCGTAGAATGGCAAGTAGATCGAAACGTGCCGCGCGTTTCTCACGCACAAATGACGCAGGAAACGTACTTACAGGAACAGATGCACGCAAATGAGCGTCTCAGTTGTTACTTTGCTGTGTCTGAAAAGCGCGCCCTTTTAGGGGCGAAGCTCCTTATATCGGCACCCGTTCGTGCCCCGTAGTATGTAACAAGTATGACATTTTGACCTCCAAGGTGGTGCCGGTGAGAGACTTCTTCTGTGCGTTGTCTAACAATAAAAAATAGTGCTCAATGTACAGTCAATGGCTGCTAATGGGAAATGAGATACAGGAGCATTCGGCTTTTAGTTAACGCGCAGGCTGCGATCACCATTAGCAGCTATTGGCATGTACATTGAGCACTATCTGACAAGAAAGGGTCGCTACGTTATACTCGCTGGGTGTAACCTCCTTAGCTTTAAACAGGTTTAGCGAGCGTTGAGCCGCAGTGCCATGAATACAATGAACTTGTATATACCATGAATGAACTCGAGGTGGTTAAAAATGGGAAGTAGATACGAAGCGTAAGCCGTAAAAAAGTAAAAGCCGAATTCTCCGTCTCTCATTTCCCAATAGCAGCCATTGGCATGTACATTGAGCACTATCTGACTGAAGACGTTTGCTACGTCATACTCGCTGGGCGTAACCTCCTTGGTTTTCGAAAGGTTTAGCGAGTGTTCGGCCGCAGTGCCATGAATACAGTGAACTAGTATATACCATGAATTCGAGGGGGTTAAAGGTGGGAAGTTGACCCGAAGCGCAAGCCGTAAGAAAGTGTGCGTGTGCCACCTCTCGTTTAGTCCTTGGAATGTCCGCTGGATGGCGGTGCTTCTATATGGGGAATATATGATGAAAAGATGCGAGATGGTGGTACTTGGCGTGTTGAATAGATCGACGAACGGACTCATAGACCGATGCATGGATGGACGCATGAACGGACGCAGGGACGGCTGCATGGACGAACGCAGGGACGGACGCACGAACAGACGCACGCACGGACGGGCTGATGGACGCATGGACGGTCACACTGACAGACGGAAGCAAGAACGAATGGACGGACGAATTCTTCACCCCACTCTCCATCATTCACTCCGTGGATATGCTGCAATTTTTTTTTTTGCTATCGGAGTATGTGCAACTATTGCAGCCCATAATTGCAACAGAATAGTTCTAGTGCAAGCCGAACACCAGCCTTTCCACCGGGAGATAAGAGCGCTTGACAGATCGTCTATTCACCTCCTCTCAGCGGGCCAATCTACGCGCGAGAGATGAAAGCCACGCCGCGTGCTCACTGCGCCATCTTGCTTTTAATGCTGAAAACACGTAGACCCCCCCCCCCCCCCCGATATGTCCACCAACAGCGGTAAGTGGTATAAATGAATAGCTTGCCGTTTGAACGGTGATGGTGGTACCCCTCGGGAGCTCAGTGGTTAACGCCTCGCATTCACGACGCTGGGGTTCCACGTTCGATTACGCACACTAGTTTTTTTTTCTTGCGTTTTCATATATATAGATACGTACGGTGCATGACATAGACACTGACGCCCACGTCAACGCCGACGCCGGCGGCGAAATCCAGAGTGTCCATAAATTTCTCATGATGGTTTTCGTCATTGAATTCATACTTAAACAATACTGAGAGAGAAATGAAACGGCTGATTGCGTTTTCGCAGACACGAAACTGCGCACGAACATCGACGGTAGCCTGTCGTACGACGACGTGAACAGCGCTAAGTTCTTGCACTTACCTTGAAGAAGTACAAAGAACAAAAACGATAAAATGTGGAACGGGATCTTGAACTGGACCGATTGCGTTGACTGTTCCCAACTGGAGTCAGCCAAACGACACAGAACAGTGATGGGGGTCACAAACTGACACAGTTGGCAACGGCCCCCTCACTTTTAATACAGTACGGTGACCCTATACGTGTAACTAGCAAGGACGACGATACAGCATGGTGGCCAGAACAAGAAGTGGCATCGGTTTATTCAGTCACTGATTATATAGGTGCACGATAGCGCGCCGTGAGTATCTGCGCATGTCTCATGCGCAGTCGTGATGCAAATAGCCTTGCCGGATACATCCTTTCCGTTAACAACGAAATTACATACCCACCGAAACGGTGGTAAGTACATGGCATTTCAAAAAATGATATCATACACTTGGTTAAAGTCCTTGTCATAATGAAGACGCTGTGGTGGCTTCACGGTTCGAGTCGACCTGCTCAAAGCTGGCGTCGGTGGTGAAGTTGACTGACGCACCACAGGTGGCGAAGGGTCGCCCGACGTTGGAACTTCGCGACGTCGGCCATTGGCTGGCGAGGTTGAAGTTGCCACTGTCGGATGGCCACCAACGTTGTTGTCCGCTGAGCTGGCATCAATGTCGTCGCCGCTTTCCTCGATGAACCGTTCGCCAGTTTGAAGTAGGTGACGACGGTTGCGCCTTACCAGCTTCTGGTCCTCCGTTTTGACAAGGTAGGACCTTGGATATGGCGAACCCACCACTTGAGCTTTCCGGGACCATGCAGCATCTCTGAGCCTCACGACGTCACCCTTCTGCAGAGGAGGCAAAGGTCCTCACCCTTGGGCCTGGCTGTGCTTTTTGACGTCGGTTGCGGTCACCGTACTGAAGTCCGGGAGGTTGGCGCGAAGGCGCCTTTCTTGCAGTAGTTCACCAGGGAATCGCCCGTCCTCCAGTGGGGTAGAGCGGTAGGCCAGCAGGCCCAGCCAGAAGTCGTTGCCCGAATCTGCAGTTTTTTTTAAGATGCGCTTCACAACCTGCACACCTTTTTCCGCAAGCCCGTTTCACTGCGGATAATGAGGGCTTGAAGTGACGTGCGTGAAATCGTATCTCCTTGAAAACAAAAAAATTCATGGCTGGAAAATTGTGGGCCGTTATCAGTGCATACTTCGACGGGCAAGCCAAATCTGGCAAAAATAGCGCTCAGTGCTGCGATGGTTGATCGCGCCGACATGTCAGGTAGTTTCTGAACTTCCGGAAAGTTTGATAAGGCGTCAAAGACAACGATGTACGAGTCCCCCGCAAACGAAAAAATATCTCCAACTCTATGCCATGCACAACCTGGCACGGGCCGCATTTGAAGCGGTTCCTTGGGCTGTTTGTAAGCATACTTGCGGCATGTAGGACAAAGTTGCACCATGGAAGCAATCTCAGCGTTAAGCCCCGGCCAAAACACGAGGCGTCTGGCCCTTTCTTTGCATTTTTGCATGCCGAGGTGACCTGCATGGAGTTTTTCAAGCATAGTTTTTCGCATGCTTTTCGGAATAACAACCTTCGACGCCTTTAAAAGTATTGCGTTGACAAATGAGAGTTCTTGCTCAAAAGGCTTTAGTTCACCTTGTACTGGAAGCCCCACCGACAAACTTGCGATCACCGACTGTAGGTAGCGGTCACGAGCCGTTGCCGCTTGCAGTTCTTTCTGCGTTGCTTCTGTGACACGGTAACCTAGAAGCTGGATTGCGTGAACTTCCACGTCGGTAGTAGCACCAGCGTCGCCTTGGTTGTCAGCAGTTGACCGGGACAACATGTCAGCAAGAACAAGGTGCTTCCCAGGAATATACTGCAAAACAAAATCATACTTGAACAACCTCAAAAAGAACCGTTGAAGGCGAGGTGGCATGTCACTAATTTCCTTTTGAGCAATTGACAAGAGTGGCTTGTGGACCGTTTCGATTGTGACTTTCTGGCCGTAGACGAACTGGTGAAATTTTTCGCATCCAAAGCAAATTCCTATGGCCTCCTTTTCTATCTGTGCGTACAGTTTTTCTGCCTTAGTCAGTGCTCGAGATGTGTAAACTACGGGCCGCCACTCGTTATTGTGACGTTGCAGAAGGGCGGCACCGACGCCGTCCTTCGATGCATCGCAAGATAACCTTGTTTCCCGTCGTGGGTCAAATATTGCGAGCACGGGAGCGGTGGACAGAATTTGCGTGAGGCTTTTCGATTCTTTGGCGTGGTTATCTGTCCACTCAAACTCAGAACTGGCCTTGATAAGAGTTCTTAACAGGGCCGTTCTTTCAGATAGCTGCGGCACGAACTTTCCAAAGTAGTTCAACACACCCAGCATACGTTGAACATCGGCCTTGCATGTTGGCACTGGCATTTGAACCAAACTTTTTACGAGCCCTGGATTTGGGGATATGCCGTTCGCACTTATAATATCACCCAGAAACCGTAGCTCTTTTACGCCAAACTTGCACTTGTGCAGATTAAACGTTAATCCAGCCGTTTCAGCAGTTTTGAGGACTGCAACCAGGCGCTCATCATGCTCTTCCTTCGTTGAGCCCCAGACCAGGATATCATCTATATATATGAGCACGCCTGGCAGACCATCAAATATCTGACAAAGTGCCTGCTGAAACACCTCGGGTGCGGATGAGATGCCAAAGGGTAGCCTTAGAAAACGGTATCTGTCAAAAGGCGACGAGAACGTACAGATTTTTGATGTCTTGTCTAAGGGCACCTGATGAAAGCCAGCGTTTGCATCCAAACAGCTAAAATAAGTAGCACCGGATAGCCGTGCTTCCAAGTCCTCGCGTCTGGGTAAAGGGAAATGCTGCCTCTTGATATACTTGTTCACTCTTCTGGGGTCCATGCAAACCCTTAGAGCACCGTCTTTTTTTTTTACCAGTACCAGAGGGCTTACCCAGTCGGTTGGCTCATTTTCTTTGACGATGATGCCCCCCCAGATCATTCGCTGTAGTTCCTTCTTCAGAAGTTCCTGAAGTGCAAGTGGAACCCGGCGAGCAGGCTGAACGACCGGAACCACATCTGGATCCAGGAACATTCTGTACTGCGTTTTCAAGCAGCCGAGTCCTTGGAACAGGTGCCTGAAATCTTTCAAAAGTTCATACTCAGACGAGGCATTGACAGCGTCCACCGTACGTCGAACCAATCCAAGCGCTTCACTGGCATCGAGCCCAAGGATGGCTTGGCGCCCATTCTTTACGATGAAGATTTTCACGCTTATCTCGGTGGTTCCGACAGACGCTTTCTGTGACGTTGTTCCATGGCTTGAAATAACGCCCCCGTTGTTGGCGCGCAACACTGACCCGGTAGGTTGCAACGCTTCTTTGGATCCAAGCTTACGGTACGTTATAAATGGAAGTAAGCTTGCCTGCGAACCGGTGTCCACTTTGAACGTCACTTCTCTGCCATTTACTCGAGCCTTGATTGTCCAGTCTTTCTTGCGACAATTTTAGGAGCCGATTTCGAGAATCTCAAAGTCATTCTCAACGAGATTAGCTACCTCGCTAACAGCGGTAGACTTCTGGCAGCAACTTGCAAAGTGGTTGTATTTGAGGCAAGAATGACATAATTTACCATACGCGGGGCGTTGCTTAGGTTTACGTTTGCGGTTGCACTTCCTGCAGCAAATATCTTGAATATCGCGACTCTGTTTTTTTTCCGCTGCTGCCGTTTTTTCGTCACCGTTTCGCCACTTGAAACTGCGTCAATGCTATCTTCTGTCCTATTCCAAACTGGGCTCCTTAGTGCGGCTGCTTCTGCTGCTTTACACATTTCCTCGGCTTTTAGTAGCGTCAGGCCTCTCTCGGCAAGCATTCTTTCACGCAGCTTTGGGTCGTTCGTACCAAACACAATTTGGTCTCTAATCAGTGAATCGTGCTGATCCCCAAAGTTGCACTGTGTCGCCTGCTTCTTTAAGTACCGCACAAACTTCTCAAAAGGTTCTTTCTCCGCCTGGCTTCGTGTACGAAAAACTTATCTTTCGTGAATTTCATTGCTCACTTCGGAGAAGTAGGCGTCGAACTTCCGCACGACCGTGTCGTAAGATTCCTTGCTTTCTCCGGGCCCGTACTGAAAGTTGTTGAAGATGTCGAGCACTTCGTCTCCCGCGAAGCTCAGCAAGAGCGCCACTTTCGAGGAGTCACTTCTCGGGGAATTCACGGCTGCCGTTGCTTGCAGAAAAAGCTCGAACCTTTGCTTGAAGCGCTTCCAATTTTCAGACAAGTTGCCCGATATGCGCAAAGACTCCGGCGGCTTCAGTAGATCCATAGCGATTCCGTGCCGTTGCTGCCGTGCTTCGGTCCGCGGTGGCCACTTCTGACACCATGTAACTAGCAAGGACGACGATACAGCATGATGGCCAGAACAAGAAGTGGTATCGGTTTATTCAGTCACTGATTATATAGGCGCACGATAGCGCGCCGTGAGTATCTGCGCATGTCCGATGCGCAGTCGTGATGCAAATAGCCTTGCCGGATACACACCGTAGTAATTGCTTTATGATGATGGGCCCGCCGCTGTAGCTGCATCACTATTATGATGAGCCCCATCACTGTTACGATTTCACTACGGTGGCAAGCCCCCTCACTTTAACGATATAGTACTGCGCTGACGGGCCCCGTCGTTGTAGTGACGATTTCACGACGCTAATGGGCCCACTCACTCTAAGGATAGTACTAAGTTGACGGGCCCCGTCACCATAGTCACTGTCAAAATATTTTTACAGCTTCAGCTTAGATGTTAGCATCTTTACGAAAGAAAGTTTAACTGATAGAAATAATTAAGTGCATCTGCCGTGGTATAAGGTAGCATGTAAGCTTTTGCTCTAAGATATGGGTTCGCTACGAGGCCTCAGTCGCCGTGCTTGCCATGTGCTTAGAGTTAGGTGCATGTTAAACAACCTAAGCTGGCTGATATGAACCTGAAGTCGCCCGCTGCGTAGTGCTTGGAAATTGTATTGTCAATTAGGCACGTAAAAATCTCAGCGCTTCTCATTATTAAATAAATGTTCTGTCTGTGTATATTCAATGACGCCCTTTGTAGCACAACGATTCTGTGCTAGCAAGCAAGGCAACGAGACTACAACCGCGGGACCCAGGCTACTGCGAAATACACCTTCTCCGTCTAAGATAAAACGATCTTTAACTTAGGCTAGTGTGGTTCGCAGGTATATGGCGAGTTTACTATTTGAAAGACTAGCTGCAAAAAAAAAAACAGAAGCCTGATCGATACTAGACTTGAGGGGCTCTACAAAAGAAACGAAAAGAATGTAAAACTTGAATAACAGAAATATGACTCTTTGAGGGCAACTGTTCACTCAAGTGACGATTTTGAGGTGGGTTATAAAACAGAGTCAGCAAGCGTCTCTCCAGCATTTCTTCTAACTAGACTGTATTTAAGCAAACCCCAGAAAATAAACGCCACGGAGTGTTTGATGCAGCTAATTTATGGTACTAACGGCTTTCGTGGTTCGTTTTTGTAACCATGGTTTTATCAGATCATGGTGAGTTCTCCTGCAAGAGTGATTGATTGATTGATTGATTGAATAATATGTGGGTTCAACGTCTCAAAACCATCATATGATTATGATAGACGCAGTACTGGAGGGCTCCGGAAATGTTGACCACCTGGGGTTCTTTAACGTGCCCATAATTCTGAGCACACGGGCCTACAATATTTCCGCCTCCATCGGAAATGCAGCCGCCGCAGCCGGAATTTGATCCCGCGACCTGCGGGTCAGCAGCCGAGTACCTTAGCCACTAGACCACAGCGGCGGGGCATTGCAAGAGTGGAGGAGTATTCGCATGAGATGCGAGACAAGATTTTGAATTAAGGTTATCTATTCATGTCGGTAAGGCCTGTTTAGAAGATTACTAGAAAATGGCGATAAGAACAAAGATTAGCTTCTAAACATACTTGCAGTGAGGTGATATGTGTGATTTCGACGGAATGAAACGATAAAAAAAAAGACACCGACAGTGTATCAGCGGAACTTGCTTCGGCAGTCATGTATTGGTTGCAAAGCTCACAATTTTTTCATTATAATTTTTTCCACACATTTCTTCACTTATCGTGTGGTGTTTGTACTTGTGCAGTACTTTTATCAGTTCGTTAAAAAATCACAGCATATCCGCGGAGTGAATGATGACAATTGGAGCGAAGCGTCCGTCAGCCCATCCGTGCTTCCGTCCGTCCGTTCATCCTTGCTTCCGTTCGTCCGCGCGACCATCCGTGCGTCAATTCATGCGTCCGTCCGTCTGTCCATGCGTCCGTCCGCGAGTCCGTTCATCCGTCTGTCCGTCCTTTCGTGCGTCCAATCGTCTGTACGTCCACGCGTCCATCCATCCGTCCGTTCATCTGCTAGTCTGTCTGTCTGTCCGTCCGAGTGTCCATCTAGTGAACAGTCGAAGTACCGCTATCTCCCATCTCGTATCCCCTGTGGCACATATCCGCTCCAGAGCGGGTATGTGCCACCGGTGGCTACATACATACATACACTACATACATACATACATACATACATACATACATACATACATACATACATACATACATACATACATACATACATACATACATACATACATACATACATACTTACATACATACATACGGAGGACGAGGAGGAGTGACAGAACCACGCCATAAGGAGCTTCACTCCTTAGAAACCACGCATGTGTTAGTGGTTAGTCATAGAGTAAAATTTGCCCACGCCTGCCATTTACTCGACCGGCCGGAATGCGAACAGAGATTTTTTATGAAAAACGGGTTTAGGTTGACAACGTTAGTGGTACGGTGCGTTACACAAGTCGC